CAAAAGCTTGGAATATTCTTAGGGCACCTGAATTAGAATGGTCTCATATTATGCTCGAGACCCTCTCCCTTAAAATTTTAAATGAGAACTGAGCAAATCTCATGACCTTTTCAAGTTCCATCAGCCAAACGTGGTGATGGCTCTGAAAGGAGAGCTCGTGTGGCATTCATGGGTAAGAACATAGACTTAGCAGGTAAAGACTTGAATATCAGTTTTATGAAACACTGGGAAAATCAACTTGTCCCCTCTGGGAATAATTGAGGCTTTGCAGGCCATACCGTCTGTACCATGACTGCCTAACTCTTGCCATTGTAATGTGAAAGTGGCCACAGATAATGCAAAAACTGTGTTTCAATAAAACGTTATTTCCAAAAACAGGAGGCTGGTCAGATTACAAACATGGCATAGTTTGTAGACCACCGAGAGGACTAAGACAGAGATAATAAAACTTATCTTCAAAGGTTGCTGTAAGAATTAAATTGGTTACTACTCATTTATTTCTTGGCACAGAGTAGGTAATAGATGGAAGCTGCTATCGTTATTATTATTATTTCTAAGTTATTCCAACTAAGTCCGTGACCATAGATCTATGATTTTTCTTTTTTCTTTTTTTTTTTTTTGGTGGCTGGCCAGTATGGGGATCTGAAACCTTGACTTTGGTGTTATAGGTTATTCCAACTAAGTCCGTGACCATAGATCTATGATTTTTCTTTTTTCTTTTTTTTTTTTTGGTGGCTGGCCAGTATGGGGATCTGAAACCTTGACTTTGGTGTTATAGCACTGCTCTAACTGAGCTAACCAGCAGCCTAGCTCTCAGACTTTTTAACTGGCCAAAACAAATTTCCCAATTGAAAATAATTTTCCTGAGTGGAAAACCAAGTTTGAGAGAACACATCAGCAGGAGACAGGGAGTCCTCTGTAGCTCCCCATCTGAGGGTTCCACGTTGCAAGAGAACTAATACTGCCCCAGTGTGCTGATGATCTCACGTGAAAACGAAACAGAGGTGAAGCTGAGATACTGATTTTAATGTGTAAGATGACTTGATACGGAGTGTTATGCTTTTAACTGCAGGTGCAATCTTTCTCCAGTGTGGGGGCACCTTGCTCACTTGTCGTTTTTAACATCCAGTCAAAGACACCCATTTCAAGTGGAAGCCAACTGTTATGAGTTGAGAAGCTCGGCTACTCGCTCACAGTATTTGATCTTAACACAAACTGAAGATAAAGGTCATTGCACTGAAACTCAACGCAAATGTTTTATGTTTTTAGTGAGCTTGTTTGATATTATTCTTCAGCATCTTAGGAGCCGGTTGGGGTAATAACTGAGGACTGACAATCACCGAGTACACAGCAGCTCACAAAACAACGGCAGGTGGTACCTAGTGAGTGGCCTTATCCCTGCTTCCCACCCCTGCCCCAAATTATAATCTCACTCTCAATTCTTGGGCCTAATCAATAAAATAAAACTTTTTGGATTCTCTATTACTGAGGTTTAATGTACATACTATGCCAATCTGTTCAGGAAAAAAGTAGTAAAAGTTGACATTAAGTAAAATATAGTGTTGTTTTAATTTTATAAATTAAATATCCACATTTGCTATTGTTAATAAATTGTTCTTATAAAACTAAGTATATAAATCATCAGAAAATATCAATATTTTACTTTTACAATAACAATGGTAAATGACAGAGCAGAAACACACTCGAATGAAAAGATGAGAAAGGGCAAGATTATAAAATGCTGTTGCATTTCACTCTGAAACGTTATGGCATAAACAAAGTGGACTTATCCATCTACATGAAAGCTGTTAACAGAAGCAGAGAGGCAAGACCATTGCTGCCTCTTGCATCCAATAGGATCCTCATCAGGACCTCACATGGGAAATAAGGCAGGGACAGAGGGGCAAAATGTTTCAACCACTAAGGAGCTGGTGACATACTGAATTTTAGGCTGATAAACAGTATCCTGTTTATATTTTGGCAAAAAAAATTATAATCCAGTAATAAGGTACTCGAATTATTAGGATAAGTAACTATTGAAATAACTGAATTACCCATATTATTTTAACTATTATTTAACAATAGTCAATATACTAGTAACTCATTTTTAATTATTATTTAATTTTAGCATGTATTTTTATAATACTATACTTTGTTATATATTATATATAATATAGATTTTATGTATATAGATATAGATATTGTTTTCAAATAGCCATTTTTGCATTCTTATTGATTCGTGTTGAATCTAGATTATTATGCATGTCCTTAAGCTTTCAGAATCTCAGTTAGTGGGCTGGCCAGTTAGTTCAGTTGGTTAGAAAGCGGTTTTAAGGTTAAGTGTTTGTATCTCCATACTGGCCAGCCACCAAAAACAAAAACAGAATCTCAGTGAGTTGATAAAACACTACACATGAAACTTTAAGCTGCTGCTATTTTGCTTTATGTTACAAAGGAGTTGTAATTATGTATTTATGCAGTTACAGTGACATATTAAATTGTGGTCTGTTTGCAAACTCACAGTATTAACCATGTTCAGTCCCTGAAAACTAGGCTGAGAGTGAAGTCTGGAAGCTCAGGCACAGGAGCTGCACAGAGCATGTGCCCTCGTGCCCACAGAGCTGCCTGCAGGTTCCCCTGCACCTTCCCCAGCAGAGTCTCCTGGGCAGGGAACGAGACCTGGGTCTCTCAACAATCAAACCTTTGCTCTGTGCTGGGACTAAATCCAGACACAACTTCAACAGGCTCCTCATCGGCCAGGAAGCAGGCTGCGCTTGGTTTCACAAATGTCTCTGGACACTTATGACTGTGGACCTCCTACAGTGAGAAGCAGAGTGGGGCTGGGTTGAGGGTCTGAAAACTGGCACTGGGGAGCAAGGTGACTGAGTTTGAAGGGTGTGAGGATGAGGGTTAAAATCTGGTTTAATATTACCATGGGTCTAGTTTTTCTTAAAAATCTGTCACTAAGCCATGCTGTCGAACCATTCTAGAAGGACTTAGGCGGGGAGAAGGGCCAGAGTCTGCAAATTCTGCATCATTCAGGAGGGCCTGGTGTGTCCTGGGGAGTTTTCCTGGCCCGAGAAGTGTGTTATTTTTCCTAGGCAGGAAAGTGGAGTCTGCAGGGAAGAAGAAAGTTTAAGGTGATGTGGAGGTAAAAAGCTACTTCACTCCATAACCTAGAAAGAGTCATTAGCTTTTTGCTACTAGGAGTTCATTATGTGGGGTACTTAATCGTCATGAAAGGGCAAGGAGAAAACAATTTTTAAATAACCCTTCTCAGTGAGGTAGAACTTTCTCCCCTAAAACTGTACTGTTTTTACCCCTGCGCCATGCTAAGAGAATGCAAACTGTATTTATGTCTTCAGTTAGTAACTGATGAAGTTTGGATGTGTTGTCCCCTCCAAAACTC